TGTACCAACCTCCTGCGAAATGCAAAAAGTAATTATGAGAAGCTGGAATTTCAAAGAGCCGGTAAAAACTCCCAACATCTATGGAAAGTCATTCAAACTGTTACAAATTTATCTAAACAGCAATCAACGGCGTCTGATCTCCTAGACATCAACGAAATTAATACTCAAAAATCTGTTGAGGATATAAACACATATTATTCAAATACAGGAAAATCACTGGCAGACAATTTAAAAAGAGGCTCGGCAATATTACCGGCTTCCGTTACTTATTCAAAATCCTTTGTTTTGCTTGAAACTGACGAGAGTGAAGTCGAACGCTTGTTTATGTCTTTGGATAGCAACCGAACAGCTGGTTGGGATGGTATTTCTTCAGAATTCTTAAAGAAGCACAAAAATTTTATTATTTCACCTCTTACAAAATAATTTGAGTCTCCAGACAGGTATTTTCCCTGATATGTTTAAAAAGGCAATAGTTCAACCTATTTTTAAATCCGGCGATCGAAATCGTATCGAAAACTACAGACCTATATCAGTTTTGCCTACGATGTCGAAGATCCTCGAGAAAATAATTAACACAAGACTTGTTAATTATTTAGAGATTAATAAACTGCTCTCTAAAAATCGATTTGGTTTTCGAAAAAAAAATTATGTACCAGATCTACATGCTGTCCACAGCCTTATTGATTTTGTAGTCAGGAATCTAGACATACGTCAAAAATATATTGCCTTGTTTCTTGACCTTACAAAGGCGTTTGATACTGTTTCGATACCTAATAATTTTAAAACTTCAATCTTTAGGAGTAAGAGGAATTCAGTTATCTTTATTCCAAAGTTATTTAAGTAATAGAACTCAATGTGTTAGGATTGGCCCTTATAGTAGTTTTGACCTGCAAATTACATACGGTGTACCGCAGGGAAGTATTCTCGGCCTAAGTTTGTTTTTGGTATATATAAATGACTTGTGTAACATCAATCTTTTAAACGGGATGATCTTTTCCTACGCAGAGGACAGTGCACTTGTGTTTCATTAGAATACTTGGACTGAAACCTATTCCCTTGCTCAGAAAGGGTTTGACGTTGTAAAGAAATGGTTGAACGCGCATTTTTACGTTGAACATAGATAAAACAAAATTAATAGACTTTTCTATTCGAAACACAAAAAATTTAACAACGAACTCATTACAAATCTCTGTTAAGCCTCCCCTTGATATAAGAAATAGTACAGCCAATAATGACCTACACTATATAAAAAAGTGACATCTATAAAATATCTTGGAATTATAATTGATAATAACCTCACATTTAAAGCTTACATTGAACACCTGTCAAACAGAGTCCGTAAACTTATCTACATTTTGAAACAATTACGTCAATCTGCAGATTCAGAAATCATGAAGATGATTTATATGGCATTGTGTCAATCTATTTTATCTTATTGCATATCCACATGGGGTGGTGCGGCTAAAAGTAATTTTATACAACTTGAACGGGCACAGAGAGCTGTTTTAAAAGTATGTTGTTTTAAACCGCGTATGTTTCCTACAGACCAAGTTTACGACTATTGCCAAGTACTAATAGTTAGACAATTATTCATTTTAACCACCACTCTCAAACAACATGTCTCAACCAAATATATCCCTGAATGGACACGACGTAACCAACTAGTTGCAAAGTCTACTCAAGTTAAAACTGCATTTAGTCATAGATTCTTCATATTCCTTGGCCCCTATTTATATAATAAATTGTATAAAACCTTATCCCTCTTTTCTCGAAATCAATATGAGTGCAAAAACATTATTCTCAAGTGGCTCCTTAAGCAAACCTATGCAAAAACAGAAATCTTTTAGAGGTTGTCGTGTAAAACACACACACACACACACACACACACACACACACACACACGCACGCACGCACGCACGCACGCACGCACGCACACACTTTTCTAAGTTTTTTTAACCATAACCAATTATTTCAATTAGGTATGACAAATAAGGAAATGGAGTTAATCTTTATGTGTTAATATATTAGATATAAATAGCATTCCTCGTAGAGGTGGAGACCTGGTGACCTGTAATACGGGTATCTTACCCACCATAGGCACCAGTGATCCACGGGCAAAGTTGTTTTGTACTACTTATATGCTACTTATAACTCTAAATGTAACTTTGTTTGTGGTGAGAAATATACGTTATTATTATTATTACTCATTGTAACAGAATAAGTATGATAACAATAACAAAAATTTACAACAAAAATAAAACAGGATAACGAAAATAAAAAGCTATGAAAACACGTGGTTAGAAGTACCCTATACGCGTAAGCGCTGGCTGACCTTGCGAACGGTACTGACAATTCGACTACGTCACTAAGATGGTCGCCAGTCGCAATATCAAAGTGCGGGGCTTATATTCACTTACATTCTTTGCTCCAAACAATGTTTTTAACATTTTATAGTAAAAAACTGGTATAAGTACCCATTTATAAACCCAAGATATATTTTTTTATCCTACAATTGATTTTTTTAAATTAATTTTTCTTCTCTATGGATCGTATTCATTTCTGTAAGGTTTTTTGATATGTTACAGAATCTTACAGCAAGGAGGAGTCCCAATTCATATATGATAACTAATACCCGTGGGAAAGTTGGCCGTTTCTGTTTATTTAAATCTGCTTACAAATTGGGAGAAGACATTGTTGGCACATTCGATTTCTCCGTTGGCACTGTGACATGCATGCAGGTAACTGCACTTTTATGAATCACTACTTATAAAAGGACAATAGATATATTACTATACGGGGAGTATTCTATGGTGGTTGTAGAGAACCGAAAACCTACTATAAACAAGGTGTTCCATGTTAGTTCTGAGGGGTGACAGTGCATCAGCATTTTGTTTTTCAATTGAGCATAGATGTAGATGTCTATAGGCCACAGCATCCACATACCATCTGGTGGACTTTGTGCTTGTTTGTCACCCTTATTCTATAAAAAAAAATGGCGTCCGATAGATGATTGTATGACCATCTAGTTATAAAATACCACACAGGTGGCGGGGAGAACGCACAGCCGCACACGTGAAACACTTCTAGTACTGCAATGACCATATCCTACCTTCCAGGTGTGTCAATTAAGGCAAATCCTAACTATAGTGGGAAAAGCCCATATCCTGCAGTGAACTGTTATGAACTGTTATGATGATGATATAAGTTATAAACTAAGATTATATTATATTAACTTTTATAAATATTTTACAGGTTTCAGTATCTTTACAGCCCGAAGAAATAATAAAGTCTAAATCACCAACAAAGAATGTGAATAAAGAGTCCAGCAGTAGGTCAATGACAGTGGCCCGGTTTCATGAAGTGACACTTGGGTTGACACATTCTGAACTCATTCTTCCAATACCTCTACACATCACTCCAGCATTTGATGTTAATGAAGGTAAAAAAAAGAAAGAATGAATGAAATTGGAAATAATTTTAGGTTAATGATGTCGGCATTTGAACATTATGCTTACTATATTTAAGTATTTGCTGGGCTTATGTTCTGTTTAACAATTATTAATATGTGAATTTCAAGTGAAGGATGAAGGTGAAATCGAGACAGTTTTATCAATGAAAAAACATATTGACAAAACAGTTTTCATATAACCGGGTTACCAATTAAAAAGATTCTGTTAGACTTTTTCGAACTTCAACAGTTAGTAGCACCTTTGTACTCCTTAGTTCCAACAATGTTAAGAAGTGACCTTTGTGTACAAAGTTTACTCCTGACAACAACTGGCCAATAAGTCATAGCATAAGCATTCTCATGCTCTTTGCAAGTTATGCACAAAGAAATTTCAGTAACACTTATATTAATAGTACCTAATGCATTTGTCCAATAAATGTTACAAAAATAAAACAAAGAAATAAAAGATGTATCAAAACATCCTTGCATCAAAGACCTCCATGCATTATCTCATAGCCGGTCTTTGCTATAGTTGCCATGCTTGGTGGGCAAGTTGGCAACTTTAGTTTTTTATTACATATTTAGACTTGTCAAGGATATGCTGCTGCCCAGCTCCTACCTCATTTCCCTCTGTTGCCTCTAACGACACCCAGAGGATGATATGGTGAATAGATATTATTACGTCGCAACTACAGAGCTACGTAAAATGAATAACACATCAAAACATAAAATGAATTCATAAAAAGATATTTTTTTTGTGTAATATTATACTGTGTGAGTCAAATATTTCATAGCTCTTAATTTTAGTTTGAATCGTAATTAATTAAAACACTTCCCTCATTGATACAGCAAAAAGAGTGTTATAAGAAGAATTTGCTCCTTTTATATAAATTATTGGTCCAATTTTGATAGTGGCTATATTGTTATGATTGAAATAGGAGCACTTTATCTATCACCCCGTATACCACAGATCACATTTGTAAATGAAATACATAAAAAATTAATTTCAGGCTAATAAAATTATAAAAAATACTAACATGTCTAAATTAGTAATAACTTGGTGTCTTGCATGGACTTGTGGGATATTTACAATACAGCCAAATCGAAAAACTTTGGTGTATTTTGTATATATTATGTGATTAAGTGAGGCAAAATAAACTTACAAATTTTTAACTTTTTAATTTACAGTGTCACTAAGATGGCGTCTTCACTTTGAATTTGTGACTACAAATGAAAACCTTTCCCCCAACTCAGAAGATAATGATTGGAATGCTCCACTCAATGTGCCCATAGAAACTATGGTCTGGAATCTTCCAGTTAAAATTTACTCTACATTACCAAAGCAGATAACACAACATTCAGTTGGCAATGATGCTTATACATTGTACATTAAATAGATTCAAATTATTTTCGTTATAAAAATAAACAACATAATGTAAACGTAAATACTTTAATTTTATAATATGATATAAACCTGTACATAATGTTAATAAAGTAGATCATTGTGCAAAATAAAATCAGTGTATATAAGAACATACACTTAATTTTTGCTTTAATCATCAGTAGGTTCTTTGTCCCAGTCTTTCATCTTTGCTCCCATCATAAAATCATCTCTGTAAAGAGTTTAGTTTTCATTAGTATTGTAATAGTTCTTTTTTGTGGAATAACCATGCTGCACTATATAAATGTTGTCACAAAATATAAAGGCTGTGACACAAAATTTATGTGCCACCTCTATTAACCAGATGGACTGTACTTTCATTTGGAGCTACTAATAAAATGTTCAATCAAACCTTTTATTTTTCGTTTTGCCATATATGTCCTAGCTAGAGGACCCAAAGCATAATCAGCATTTAAATATAATAAATTATTCAAAAAAAAAATTACCTTAAAGCATTCCATTTAGGTTTTTCTTCTTCAGTTTTAACTTCATTTTTTAAAGACTGTGTTTGTACATCCACAACTATAGACTTTGTCTGACCCATTAACGTATCTAAAAATGCCCTCTTATCAAATTTTTTTAAGATCTTCTCTTTCTTGGATTCCGTTAAATCTTTATTTAATTCTTTTTCCAGTGTCTTCTGTTGGTTCCTCACTGCATTAAACAACTGTACCACACCTTTAGTTGCTATTTTAGTTAAGAGTCTCTCCCTGTCCTTCTCTAAAATGTTTGGTTTAAGTCTGATGGTTGATTTTTCATGTCTCTAAAACATTGTTAAACCGTTTTAATTTAATGTACTAAAGGCACTTACAGACTTACAAAATGATTACCTCACATTTAGGTACGCAATAGTATTTTTTTAATTTACCAATAAAATATAATTTAATGCATAGTGTTGTTATGTACTTACTGCTAAAAATAAAGAAGGATGTAAAGCTAATGTTAAATAACAGTATATAAAGTTACAAAACTAAACTGACAATGATAATATTATTCTCTTAGATTTATTCAACTTTAGTATATGCTTATGGCATGCAAGTGGCAAAGTATGAAAGTTGAGAAACCAAACATAGAAAGTGAAAATTGATATCTATGCCTTTCACTATTTGTTTATTTATTTATAAACTAACTAGCTTGCCACGCAGACGTTCTGCCTTTTTCGACGAACCTTTCTCATGTGCTATTTAAAATCCTTAAATACGCAAAAGAAATTTCGAGTCACTTACGCACAAAAAACTATCCTATCTCTCAAGTTACCAAACTGCACACGGTGTGCAAATTTGATTAAAATCGGTTGAGTAGTTTAGGAGTACATCGCGGACAAACAACGTGACACGTAATTTATATCTCTATATACTAGCTTGCCAGGCAGACGTTGTTCTGCCCTTTTCGACGACCCTTTGTCATGTCCTATTAAAAATTCTTAAATTCGCAAAAAAAAATTGTGGGTCACTCATGGGCAAAAAAACTATACTATCTCTCAAGTTGGACCAAACTACACACGGTGTGCAAATTTGATTAAAATCGGTTAAGTAGTTTAGGAGTCCATCGCGGACAAACAACGTGACACGTAATTTATATTTATATCTATATATTAAGATTTTGAACAAACACGTGTTTCATACAAAAGTATCAAAAGGTCAAACTATTCCCCTTTTTTACAGGATAAGGGTCACATGCGAGCACACAGTCCATCTGATGGTAAGTGGTTGCTGTGGCCTATAGACATCTACATCTATCCTCGTTTATGATCTTCAGTAAAAAGGGTCTCTTGTTCTCTACACTCACCATAGTACACAGTAGCATTAAGCTGCTATTCTGTGAGAGTATGGTCCTTCCCTGATTGAGCCAAACCATTCGGGCTACAACTATACAATTAATATAGCTGCAGCATTCTACTAATTGTAAGTTAATATAGTGATATACCTATAGACTTTAATCTTGATAAAGAATAAAAATGCAGATGTGTTGCTTATGTGGCATAGGGTGTCATGAACCAGAGACCCTTTTTACTAGAACAAGGCATTCCATCTTAGTCTTCAGGGGTGACAACACTTCTGAATACTGATTCCCAATTGAGTATAGATGTAGGTGTCCTTGACCACAATAACCATTTACCATCAGGTGGACTGTGCTTGTTTGTCATCCTTATTGTATAAAAAGTGCTGCTATTCTGGAAGAGTGTTGCAGCTATCTGATTGAGCCAAGATATTTGTGCTGCAGCCATATTCAGTATCACATGAGTTAACCGTATTTATTTTATTTTAATTTTAAAAAGTATATTGCGTCCTCTTAGAAAAAAAAAGGATACAAAGGGAGGACTAATTTCCTAAAGGCATTCTCTACCAGTCAACCTATGGAGTGTAACAAAACTGATTATTATTGTAAGACAAAAAAAATATAAAAAAAAAAAAAAAAAAAATATATATATATATATAGTGTGAGTCTTTATAAAGTGCACTTTACATATCAAAACCAGGGAAACTACATATAATTTCATCGAAAGAAAAATTATTAAAAAAAAAGAATTATTTTTTGAATATTTTAAAATTTGAAATTGCAGCTGCTAACCCTATTTAAATAAAATGTTATAACCTTTAAACTGAATGTCTAATCAAAATGGAATAATTTTTTGAATGATTGTTAATAATAAGCCGTGCTAATAAAGTAAAAAAATTCTAAAAAAATGAACGTCATAAAACTAGAATAAAGACTCACACTGCACACACACACACACACACACACACACACACATACATATATATATATATACAACATGTTACAAAAACCCTGTGATTCCCGTTAACTGCGTTATCAGAATCAGTATCCAAGCATATAGAAATAATTTTTTTACAAAAAAAAAAACACATTTAAAAAAATAATTTTAATGACAAAAAATTTATTTGCAAATTGTATGTGGTTTTATTATCTCTCCATTGGCCGAGGAGTAAGATGAGGAGAGAGAGGAAGTTACATATTGTATATATATACAATATGTAAGAAAAACCCTGTGGTTCCCGTTAGATGTGTTATCAGCATCAGTATCCAAGCATATAAAGAAATTTTTTTTATCAAAAAAACACATTAAAAAAAATTTAATGAAAAAAAAAATTAATTTGCAAATTGTATTGTTGTATATATATACATCCCGTAACTTATTGTACGTCCACTATGGCCGATTTTGCATATAATGTGGCGTCAACCTGCTTACGACGTCCAATACGGACGTCAAATAGGAGACTTAGCGCAATGTTCGTAAATTGTCATGCTGATCATAGAAATGTCAAAATCTAAAAAACAAATTGGACGTCATTTTTCTTCCAATCTTGCTGTACTGAATATTTACGTAGATCCGCTAATTTTCGTCGCAAAAATAATAGCGCTGCTGTCGATTTGTGAATACTTTCATTTATGGCCGTATTTGACTTACGCACAAAATTAGGAGATGCGACGTTGCCGTTCCGTCATCGTTGCCAACGTGTTACTTGTATTTGGTGATATATGGTTATGACTGCCTCGTTGGTCTAGTGGTTGTAGTAGTGCGACTGCTGATCGTGAGTTCCTGCGTTCGAATCCCGGGTCGGGTCAAAAAATCAATTATTGAGTTTTTCTGTCAAGAAATTCTCAATAGCTGCCCAGGAAGTTGGCGGTGTATCACCCCCGTGCCTCGTAAAGTCGTTGGTCCTGCGCCTGATCTCTCTCCGGTCGTGACGGTTTACCGTACCATCGGATTATGAGAATGTGGGAATAGAGAGTGCACCTGTGCTTACACATACACTTGGGCACTATAAACCTGTCCTGCGCCGATGGCTAGTCTCCGTTGAGGCAGGCCGCCGTGACCGTAATTCGGTCTGCAGGACATTATTATATGGTTTATACTGCGCTTGGTACTAGTAATTTTACTTTTAAACTTGTTTTCTTAATTGAAATAATACTAGTTTTTACGGAATTTATCGCGTATATTTAACTTTTTAAATACCCGACGTTTCGAACGCTTTACAGCACTCATGGTCACGGGCGGGACTGAGATGTTCAACGTCCATATGTCATAGTTAACCGCGGTTACACACATTCACAATCGTAAGTTCTGGTTTATTGCGTAGGTTCTTTAACGCTATAAATTCGTCTTTGGGAAGATTCGGTTTAGGCACTAAACATCGACGTAACATAGACGAAATGTCTTGACGTATCGCCTCCAAATCTTCTTTCCGCATATTGTTTTTAAATAAACAGTCCTCGACACTACAGATAATTTCTTCATACGGTAATTTGCGGGGTGTAATAGCAAAGTTGAGGCCTTTGGATAAAACCCTAATTGTTGCATCATCCAGTGTTTGTTTTGACAGATTATTCGAGGACTGTTTATTTAAAAACAATATGCGGAAAGAAGATTTGGAGGCGATACGTCAAGAAATTTCGTCTATGTTACGTCGATGTTTAGTGCCTAAACCGAATCTTCCCAAAGACGAATTTATAGCGTTAAAGAACCTACGCAATAAACCAGAACTTACGATTCTCCGCGCAGATAAGGGAAACGCCACGGTAGTCATGGATACTATATTATACTATACTTATAAAAAGGTTAAAAACGACCCAACAAATAGCACACTAAAAACAACTAGTGACCTCATAAAGAAACACTCCGAAAAATTAAATCTGGACGTAAAATGGATAATACCTACGTGCGCCAAATCACCAAAATTGTATGGGTTACCAAAAATACACAAGCCCAATGCTCCATTACGTCCTATAGTGAGCCAAATCAATTCACCAACTTACAGATTGGCTCAACACTTAGCGAAAATACTCTCACCGCTCAGGGGACATACAAGAGCACACATAAAGGATTCCTACCATATTGTCAGCGAGATTAAAGACCTACATCTGGCAGACAATGAAACTATGGTCAGTTTTGATGTGCAGTCATTGTTTACATGCTTACCTGTTGAAGACTGCATCTCAATTGTAACTAGAAGGTTGGAAGAAAACAACATGCCCGTAGAATATGCAGTATTACTCAGACACTGCCTTACATCTGGCTACCTATTGTGGAAGGAGGAGTTCTACAAGCAAGTAGATGGTGTGGCGATGGGCTCACCTGTATCTCCCATTGTCACCGACATATTCATGGAAGACTTTGAGGAGAAAGCCCTGCTTAGTTCTCCCATAAATCCAAGATTCTACAAGCGGTACGTAGACGACACTTTCACAGTTCTACCTTTAGATAAAGTAACTCCATTTTTAGACCATCTTAACTCCATCCTACCATCTTAACTCTATAAATTCTAAAATTCAATTCAGAATGGAGTTAGAGGCAAACAATTCCTTTCTAGATGTGTTAGTAATTCGGAATCCTGATAACACCTTGAGCCATACTGTGTATAGAAAAAAAGACCCATACAGATAGATATTTAAACGGTGATTCTCACCACCATCCTTCACAGTTAGCTATCGTGGGTAAATCTTTGTTTCAGAGAGCACGAGGGATCTGTGACAGTAAACACCTGGCTGCCGAGCTCCACCATGTCAAGCAAGTTTTGCATGACAACAAGCTTCAAGTCCCGCGCCTACGTCATAGTGAACGAGTGAAGCCGGCCACAGTCGAGAGTCGAGTACCTGCTGTACTGACATATGTTAGAAGAGTCACTAACAAGATTGGCTACATCTTGAAGCGCGCTTCCATCAAAACATACTTCAAGCCGCTGAAGAACATTGGTCAGTTTTTACCATCAATCAAGTGTAATGTTCCTCTGCAAGATGCAG